CTTATAAAACAACTGATTAAGACAAAAAAAACACACTCTTAATATGTTATATGTGAATTCAGGTTCAGTAGTAACATTACCGACCGATCAACTAGAAAATCAAAGCACGATTCATTGTCCATTATGAATATTTCGCTGTTACACAACTGATGTCAAGACCAACTATGACAGCATAATAATGTGTGTGTTCGTTGAGGCAGCAACCACTCACAGACAGACATGTTATCACGTCTCTCAACGCAAAATGATCAATATTTATGGAAGTAACAACCTTGTGAATAACTTATAGCTGGCGCTAATAATACCTGTTATCATACCTTGGGAATAACTAATAACTGATGCTTATAAGACCAGTGTCATCATACCTTGAGAATAACTTATAATTGATGCTAACAACACCTGTCATCATACCTTGGGAAACTAATAACTGATGCTAACAACACCTGTCATCATACCTTGGGAAACTAATAACTGATGCTAACAACACCTGTCATCATACCTTGGGAAACTAATAACTGATGCTAACAGGAGCCTGTCACTGACCGGCCGCGGGCGTACGAACTTCGTAAACACCTGTGCCATCATAACAATGTTCTTGAGGTAACACTACTCACAGTAGACATGTCAGCACATCCCTGCAAGAACATCACTATCGTAAGGAAATAATTGACACGTCATAGACAACAGTGTTCTGACGGTCTCAGTTGACTGTTGTTGTTGTTGTGGTCACTACCTGGACGACACTTGCAATATTTCATTCACTTGAGGATAAAGTCAGTTCGTATTGTCTCACCATTTACCTTCAAATAAATATTTATTTAGCTGCAAAAGTAATGTCTGTTAGCCTAGTCTTTCAACAGAATTTTTTTTTTCTCAAAAATTTGCTGTTGTACAAAAATAAATATTTGATCCTCGTGATGAGTTTGTTTTTCGACAATTGATGTTTTCAACGGAGAATAAATTTTGTTTTTTTAAAAGCAAATTTCTGAAAACGAGAAATATGACTAAAAAAAATCAATAAATATTATTATTCTTGCTGAGACAATTTATTCTTGAAATCAAATAAATATTTTAACCATTTAAGAGTATTTTTCTGCTCACATATATTTGTAAAGAACATTTACCGAGTTTTTCTTTTCAAAAATTATTATATTGAAAAATTATTTATTTTATAGACAAATAATTAAAAAATAATAATGGCTACTTCACAAGTAAATGTTAGTAATCTCGAAAAAATTAAAATTTTTAAACACAGTATGAAAATGAGGACTAATATGCATAATGGAAAGGTTTTAGTATAGGTTAAATGTTGATTCTACTGGTAATTATTGCAACCGATCCTGGGAAAATATTGCAACACAGGACAAGTGTTTCCTGACGCGGGTCTTAGTTATATGAGGACCCACAGCTGGAGCTTACTGTTGTCTGACCGAGGCCTTCCACTGGCTTACTCCTACTCCCCTTAAATATTATTATTATTAGTAGTAGCATTAGTATTTTTAATTATTATTACTATTATAATTACTGGGAAAGAGGTACGCTGTTAGGCGTCATACATCGCGTGGGCAGTGGCACATATTAAGGTTTGATCCTTGGATCAAGAGCACTTCACCAGCATCAAGGCTCAGGTATCCCTTCACACGCAGCATGTGATGGTATACCTGAAGATTGTATCTTTCAGAGGACCTGACATGCAGCTGCGTTTCCAGTGGATGACATATATATATATATATATATATATATATATATATATATATATATATATATATATATATATATATATATATATATATATATATTATATATATATATATATATATATAATATATATATATATATATATATATATATATATATATATATATATATATATATATATATATATATATATATATATATCTTTCTTTCAACACACCGGCAGTATCCCACCGAGGCGGGGTGGCCCAAAAGGAAAAACGAAAGTTTCTCCTTTTACGTTTAGTAATATATACAGGAGAAGGGGTTACTAGCCCCTTGCTCCCGGCATTTTAGTCGCCTCTTACAACACGCAAGGCTTACGGAGGAAGAATTCTGTTCCACTTCCCCATGGAGATAAGAGGAAATAAACAAGAATAAGAACTAGAAAGAAAATAGAAGAAAACCCAGAGGGGTCTGTATATATGTGCTTGTACATGCATGTGTAGTGTGACCTAAGTGTAAGTAGAAGTAGCAAGACGTACCTGAAACCTTGCATGTTTATGAGACAGAAAAATGGACACCAGCAATCCTACCATCATGTAAAACAATTACAGGCTTTCGTTGTACACTCACTTGGCAGGACGGTAGTACCTCCCTGGGCGGTTGATGTCTACCAACCTACTACCTAGGATATAAACCAACCTACTACCTAGGATATAAACATTATCTCTGTGTCCACAGCAGGACTCGAACCGAGTCCTGCTGTGGACGTAGAGGTAATGTTTGCAAATAATTTCGCCTGTATGTGAATTGTTAATCATTTCAAATCTCTTTCGTTGTTCACTGCATGTGGCAGGATTCGATGAAATAACTTTCAAAACGAGATTGGTGCCCGGGGGTATGGTGCCCGGGGGTATGGTGCCCTGGGTATGGTGCCCGGGGTATGGGGTAACATCACTTAGCTTCAGCTAAGTGCCCATACTTATCTTGGGTCTAGCTCAGTGGTAAAGTACTGTGGACTCTGATACAGAGTTAGCAGGTTCGAGTCTTGCTGTGGACGTAGAGACAATGTTTGTAAATAATTTCGCCTGTTTGCGAATTGTTAAGCATATATATATATATATATATATATATATTTATATAATATTTTATATATATTTATTTATTATTTATATTTATATATCACAGGTGACACAGATGGATTCCTGGACACATGAACCTGGGAAAGGTAGGATTGCTGGGTGTAGGATAGGGAGTGTTGAAGGGAGAATATCTCAGAGGACACAGATGGACTCCTGGACACATAAACCTGGGGAAGGCAGGATTGCTGGGTGTAGGATGTATATATATTTGTCAGGTCCCCCATACCATGGGTAGACTGGTACCCTCATATCAATAGTAGACAGGTACCTTCATACCAAGGGTAGACAGGTACCCCCATGCCACGGGTAGACACGTGTCCCCACACCGTAGGTAGACAGGTACCCCTGCACCACAAAAGACGGATACCCAGTACCACAGGCTAAGTTCCCTGCACCACAGGCAGTCACACCCACAGTGAGTTCTTTATTCCTCTTATTCGGTGTAGGAGTGGGGGTTGGGTTTATTCTGCTTCTTACTAGTTACAAGCAGTGAATAGGCGTGCCCAAGACACCCTCCTACCCACATATCTACCTAACCCCCCCCCCCAGTAATGACCTTATGCCTACCTTAGTTTGGCATCAAATTTAAACATATTTGTTTATGTTAAAAAATCTATCTACAAATGTTTTTACATATTCAGATTTGAGACAATAATTGCATCATTATTTATATTATTATTATTGCATCATTATTTACATTATTATTATTTTATATACATTATTAATATTTTATATACATTATTAGTATTTTATATACGTTATTAATATTTCACTGCAGTTTTTTTAATATTTTACTTCACACATTTTTGAAATAGGCCCAAAATTTTGAAAAGTTATTGAAGTTCAACACAAGATGATCCAGCAAAGCGAATATGATTTATTTCCTTGGGCGCCCTTACATTTAATATCTTACTTAAGAACACATATACGCCATCTCTGTGTTTTTTCCAGGTATATAGAACAAAAGTTAGAGATAAGATAGGTCCCCTTCAAAATAACTCTGGGCATCTTACTGACAAAGAGAATGAAATGTGCTCGATTTTAAATAATTATTTTCTCTCAGTTATTACACAGGAAGACACTAACAATATTCCAGTAATTAATTTTTACAGTGGGCTAGAAGAAGATAAATTATGTAACATCACAGTCACTAGTGAAATGGTTGTGAAGCAGATAGACAGACTGAAGCAAAATAAGTCACCGGGTCCTGATGAGGTTTTTTCAAGGGTTCTTAAGGAATGCAAAATGGAACTCTGTGAACCATTAACTAATATTTTTAATTTATTTCTTCAAACAGGTGTAGTGTCTGATATGTGGAAGATGGCTATTGTAATTCCTATTTTTAAAACAGGGAACAAGTCGTTACCGTCAAATTACCGCCCAATAAGCCTGACCTCAATTGTAGGCAAATTACTAGAGTCAATTATAGCTGAGATTATAAGAAGCCATCTCGATAAGCATAGCTTGATTAATGATACTCAGCATGGATTCACAAGAGGCCGGTCTTGCCTAACTAATTTATTAACTTTCTTCAGTAAAGCTTTTGAGGCTGTTGACCACGATAAAGAATTTGATATTATTTATTTAGATTTTAGTAAGGCTTTTGATAGAGTTCCGCACCATAGACTGTTAAAGAAAGTGGCAGCTCATGGCACTGGGGGAAAAGTGCTCTCGTGGATCGAGTCATGGCTCACTGACAGGAAGCAAAGAGTGTCCATAAATGGGGTTAAATCCGAGTGGGGATCTGTAACAAGTGGCGTTACACAGGGATCAGTCTTGGGCCCGTTGTTGTTTATAATATATATCAATGATCTTGATGAGGGAATTACTAGTGATATGAGCAAATTCGCCGATGACACAAAGATAGGTAGGATAATTGATTCAAACGTAGATGTTATGGAACTTCAGGAGGATTTAAACAAACTCTATTCTTGGTCAGAAAAGTGGCAGGTGCAGTTCAATGTAGATAAATGCAAGGTTCTGAAGCTTGGGAGTGCCCATATCCCTAGTACTTATAAGTTAAATGATGTAGAACTTAGCCATACAGATTGCGAAAAGGACTTGGGGGTTATGGTGAGCAGCAACCTTAAACCAAGACAGCAATGCCTAAGCGTACGTAATAAGGCAAATAGATTACTAGGATTGATATCAAGAAGTGTAAGCAACAGAAGTCCAGAGGTC